CACGCCCCTGCGCCCGTGCGCGTGCACCAGCAGCGCGCACCAGCAGCCCAGTGTGCGTGCACCCCGCGGCCAGCAGACCAGTTCCCGTGCCCAGCGAGAGACCCGACCCGAACCAGCCCATTCCGGCCCAAACCCAACCAGACCCAGTTCAGACCGATACGACCCGGTTTAGCCTGACCCAGTTAGCCCAGTTCGTGCCCGAGATAGTTTCCGAGCGGCCCAAGGAGTCCAACTCACTTACCGAAGGTCTGAGACAATCCGATGAGCTTGATGAGCGATTGGAGCACCTTTATGACTCGATTAGAATCGAGAAAGGCCAAGTCCAGCTGCCCATTGGATTTTGGTATTCAGACGATCTCCATCAACGGAAATCAAAAACGTCTCAGAGTCGACAAAAAATTTAAACCGTAAGTCCTAATCCTAACTATAGATTCTGCTGCGTTAGGATTTATTATTCAATAGATTTGAATGTGCACATTGTCGACGTTCCTAATAGAACCCAACAACTGGTATCACAACCCAGGCTAATTCGTCTTTGTGCACTATTCGAATTAGGACTTGCGTGATATATGTGAATTAATTGTGTACAGACGCAGCGCATAATAGATTAGAATTGCAAATAAGTGTGTTTGCAGATATTCTTGAATCCGACTATTATGGCCCGCATGTATGTTTGTTTTTAATTCATGTATGTTGTTTTATAAGCCTCGGACATGTCGAGGAATTTTGGGTTGGTGAATGCTTGTAATAATTTATTCGTGTGGTGGGACACCGCATAGTTTAAATGTTTTACTAGATCATTCATGTACAACCCCTGCGTGGGCCATAGGATCAATGTATGTAATGTAATTATTCGTTGGACCCAGTAAGCGCGTACATCTCTCGACGAGACGAGGCAGGCTACCCCGCGAACCCATAGTTGAGGGGATACGTGGTACTGTGCAAATGCAAACATACTCGTAGGCAGCTTGCTGTCAGATACGAGTATTGTTAAGGCGTTTGCAGACGGATACGCACGGACCCAGGTCAACAGAAGTACGGGCGACGGCGGCAGTAGGCACACGCCAACAGAAGAGACTCGATGGTGACTTTCCCGATGACGACTTGTTCAAGAAGAAAAGTGGGAGTCACAGCAAAAAACGAAATTCCAAGTCCTGAATCGGAAGACCCAGTTCAACAAGGACAAGACTGCATTTCCCGAAAGATTGGAGAATGATTAAAATGGCCATGATAGTTGTATCTTAGTTCCTCGTTTATTATTGCCTATTAATCATGCATGTCCTTATGTGATTTAATTGCTCTATGTGCAAATTGAATTATTAGGAGCATGTTAAAGAAAATCCCTTTAAACTAAAAATTATATTAAGTGTGTAATGGGTTGAAATAAATAACATCCAAGGCCTCCATTATAGGTTTGTCAGTGAAGTGATTTAAATCGAGCCCAAAGGACGTTTTATTTCACAGCTCACAAGGACGAATCTTTTGGGATGGTTATAGTGAGTTATTTCAAAAGCGTAAGGGTTAACCATATGTGGACGTATAATTTTGGTAGTAAACTTAGGACCAATTAATGGGTTATGCTTAAAGTGCAAATAATTACGATATTCCCAAAGGAAAAGGTCGTTTTTATTCTTATATAAGTTAATTGCACTAGCCAAAAGTTCGACCGACTATTAGTTAAGTATTGCTTGGCAGTACGTTAAGCTAATGGGATTTATCCCTCCTCTTGCAACGGTTTG